TAGGGGAAGGCCTCAGCCTCTGTGCCCTGTGGTTGGCCCTCCAGAGGAACTGGCTGGCCCCTGTGTGAGACAGGATGCTGGACTAGATGGACCACTGGTCTGATCCAGCAGGGCTCTTCTGATGTTCTTATGAAGACCCTGGCCTCTCTGCCCTGTTGCTGGCCCTCCAGAGGAACTGGCTGGCCCCTGTGTGAGACGGGATGCTGGACTAGATGGACCCTCATTGGTCTGATCCAGCAGGGCCCTTCTGATGTTCTTAGGACAGCCTCCTTGGCCTCTGGGAAGCCTGCACAGCACCCTGCTTGGGACCCCTCTCATCTCAGACTCTGCCTACCCTTAAAAATCTTCTCTGCAGGTATTTTAAATGTTTTCTCTTTTTAAGAAAACGCAAAAACCAATCACTCAGTCCTTTAGGGGTCTGGCCTGTACCGGAAGCCACATTCTCCAGTCTGCTGTGTCAAAAAAAGTGTCCCTTGAGCGTGCGTGTGGCTTCCCAGACCGATTGTGTACCCTGCCCTTCCTCCGTGGCGCTCAGAGCCGCAAACCGTGGGACACGCCCCCCTCACGGAACCACACAGCAGGCCCGTGGCACAGAGGAGACGGAGCGAGGGTGATCGGCTGGAGGTCATCCAGGGAGCCTGGTGGCTGAGCAGGAATTTTTTTAACTCTCTCGTCCCCTCCCCGTCCCTGCCGGGATAATTGCAGTAAATGATAGAGATCATGCCTGGCTGGTCTTGAAAGATCTACGCTGCCGGCTCACTGGCTTCTGGGCAGGATCCAAGGTGCTGAAAGCTTTAAATAACCCGGCACCGGAGGCTTAAAGGCCTGTTGTATTCCAGGCAGACCCTCCTGGTAGTTAAGGTCAGCTACGGAGGCCCCAGCCCTGATTTGAATGGCCGGGGGTCAGAAACTAAGCAGGGTCGGCCCCGGTTAGTACTTGGATGGGAGGCCACAAAGAGAAGAGGAGATTGGATTTATATCCCGCCCTTCACTCGGAGTTTCAGAGCGGCTTACAATCCCCTTTCCCTTCCCCTCCCCACGACAGACACCCTGTGAGGTAGGTGGGGCCGAGAGAGCTCTTTCCAGGACTGCTCCTGATAGAACAGCTCTGGGAGAACTTGTGATCAGTGCTTTCTCTAAGCTGTGGAGTCCTGCGAGCAAAAAATCTACTCTATGAGCTGCTGGCATTAAAGCTGTGAGCGAGCGATCTGGCTGCTGCATCAATCAGTTTGCTCTGGAGCCCTCCGTTCCCGAGCTAAGACCAAAATGGGTGAGCCGGAGGCTAAAAAACGGTGAGCTGGCTCACACTCACTCAGCTGAGAGGGAACACTGCTTGTGACTGACCCAAGGTCACACCAGCAGCTGCACGTGGAGGCGTGGGGGAATCAAACCCGGTTCTCCCAGATTAGAGTCCACACATTTAACCACTACGCCAAACTGGAAGTCCAGGTTCGCTATGCGGAGGCAGGCCATGGCAAACCACCTCTGATGGCCTCATGCCTTGCCCTGGACGGCCCAGGCTGGCCCAAGCTCATCAGATCTCGGAAGCTAAGCAGGGTCGGCCCTGGTTAGTACTTGGGTGGGAGACCGCCAAGGAAGTCCAGAGTTGCTATGCAGAGGCAGGGTGACATCTCTTGCCTTGAAAACCCCGTGGAGTCATCGGACGTCAGCTGTAACTCGATGGCGCCCCTCCAAAAAAGATACAGGGGCCCCACGGCTCATGCTCCCACCTTCCAAAGTCAGGTAGTCCAAGCAGGGCTTTCTCTGCAGTGGCCCCTTGATTGCAGAATCTCCTTTTAGGCTTGAGGTGACTGGTAGGGTTTCCAGCCAGTTTGGTGTAGTGGTTAAGTGCGTGGACTCTAATCTGGGAGAACCGGGTTTGATTCCCCACTCAGAGCAGCCCTCTCAAGGACAGTCCTCGAAAGAGCTCTCTCAGCCCCACCTGCCTCACAGCGTGTCTGTGATTGTGAGCCACTCTGAGACTCCTTCGGATAGTGAAGGGCGGGGTATAAATCCAATCTCTTTTCTTCTTCCTCTTCCTCTACTTCTTCCTCTTCCTCCTCCTCCTCATCTTCTTTTTCTTCCTCCTCTTCTTCTTTTTCATTCTCTTCCTCCTCTTCCTCCTCCTCTTCTTCTTCCTCTCCTTCCTCCTCCTCCTCCTCCTCCTCCTCCTTTTTCTTCTCCTCCTCCTCCTCACCATTCTTCCCTGCTGGTTTTAGATTTGGTTTATTACAGGTCCCTTCATTGATCGTGTGCACTGGTTCACTTGGTTTTCATCGTACTCTCCCCTGATTTAAACACTAATCGTTGGAAGCTGCCTTGCGAACGATGAGCCAAGAGGCAGCGTCTCAATATTTCTGAATAAACAAGTCCCCCCCTTGCCCCCGGGGTTGGCAGAAGGCAGGGTTTGTTCCACCAGAGAGCGACTGGCCGTCTGCTGGGATTGTTGGGAGAGGATGCCGGACTGAGTGAATCTGATCCAACAAGGCATTTATGTTCTTAAGTAAGAGTGCTTATTCGGGATGGCTTAACACAAGATTAATTACAGCCCTACCTCAGAAGAGTTCCTGGATGTGCACTCTCTGGCACCGTGAAACGAAAGCGTGCCACTTGGATTTGAGTATTAAACATAAGAGTGGACGACTAGCGAGCGCCCCCCCCCCTCCGAAATTCACCCTGGCCTTTAGCCCTGGATTTCAGCACCCTGGACAGCTCCCTTGTTCTGTAACTCGACCTGAAGTATTCACAGGGAGGCTGCTTGGTTTGCTGTATTTATATCCCGGCTTTCTCCCCAGTGGGGATCCAAACCAACTGACGTCGTTTTCCTCTCCTCTGTTTTATTCCCACGACAGCCCTGTGAGGTAGGCTAGGCCGAGAGCTTCGGGGGCAGAGTGGGGGGTTCAGATCTAGGTCTCTCAGATCCTCATCTGACACACTTTTGTGTGCCTGCGTGTGTTTTGTGTGCTTGCCTGGAAGTCATGGTGGACCTCCGGCGACCCCTGAACGTTTTTTCAGAGAGGTGGCTTGATTGGACCTGCCTCTGGAATGCCTTGGGGGTCGCCCTTCCAAGTACTTGCCGGAGTCAGCCCTGAGACCTGACGGGATTGGGCTTGCCTGGGCTATCCAGGACCGGGCATCGTCTGACCACTACGCCACGCTGGTTTATCACAGTGCAAGCGGACAGTAATTCGGAGGGTACTTGAGGCTCCAAGGAAGGGACATTTCCCCCCTCCGTGAGATGAAATAAGACGGGGTGTTGGGGCACCGGTGCTGGAAAGTGTGGTCGAGTCGCGGCTGTTTTAAGGGAACCCCAAAGGGTTTTCAAGGCAAGAGACATTCAGAGGTGGTGTGCCCTTGCCTGCCTCTGCGTAGTGACCCTGGACTTCCCCGGTGGCCTCCCATCCAAGTCCTAACCAGGGCTGACCCTGCTTCGCTTCTGAGATCTGATGAGATCAGACTAGCCCCCTGGGCCATCCAGGTCAAGGGTAGCCAACAGGTAGCGGCCTGTGTAAAATCTGTGACCCAGGATTGGGTTTGTTTCCTCCGTTTGCTGCAAGGTGGATCCCACCAGGGCTATTTTTGGGCAGGAACGCACAGGAACGGAGTTCCGGCTGGCTCCCAAGTTGGCCACGCCCAGCAGGAACTCATTAACATAATAGGCCACACCCAACAGCAGAAACTCATTATGATTGGCTACAATTAGGGGGTGTGGCCTAACATGCAAAGGAGTTCCTGCTCCCAAAAAAAGGCCCTGGGTTTTGACCACAAACAAGGTAAACAGAATAAGAAGCAAAAAGTGGGTGTGGCTGGATGACCACATTTCTGGTAACATGGGGGTGTGGCCTAATATGTGAATGAGCTGTGCTGTCAGGGGTGTGGCCTAATATGCTAATGAGTTCCTGCTGTTGGGTGTGGCCTATTATGCTAATGAGTTCCTGCTGGGCTTTTTCTACAAAAAGAGCCCTGGATCCCACTATGTGATTTCGCGCCATTTAATCGGTCCTCTTAACACTTGGGCTTTGCTTCTGTGTTGTCGTTTTCTAAGTCGTCTGGTTGGTTACTACCCAAATCCTGCTCCATTGTTTACTGAATATCCCATCAATCGACTGTGTCAACCCGCTCTGTGTAATCCACCCTGAGTCCCTGGGGGAAAGGCAGATTATGAATAAGAAAGAAAGAAAGTGTCCCTGAGCATGCTCAAAAGCAATGCTCCCTCTAAGCTGTGGAGTTTTGTGAGCAAAAATTCTACCTTGTGAGCTGCTGGCATTCAAGTTGTGAACGAACAATTGGGCTACTGCAGGGGTGTCAAACATGTGGCCCAGGGGCCGGAGCAGGCCCCCGGAGGGCTTCCATCAGGCCCGCAGTGGAACCGGCCATCTCCCGCTTCCAGTTCTGCTGCTGCTGCATCGTAGCTTGCTTCGCCAGACTCTCTTAATCACGCAGTCATTTCATGGATTAGCCTGGGTCCCGGACTCAGAACTCTGAGCGTGAGATTTCCGTGGTGGATGTCGATAAATAAAAAGTAGGTTTTGCAGCTTACAGAGCTAATGTTTTAAGCATGTTTTCATTTTAAGTTAAAAAAAAAATGTGTCTGTGTCCTTTATAAAGTTTATATCTCCGCTACCTGGCATTACCTTTCGTGACACACGTGGCCCAGGGGCCCGACAAGGTCCCATTTATGTCAGATCCGGCCCTCATAACAAATGAGTTCGACACCCCTGGTCTACCGCGTAAATTAGTTTGCTCTGGAGCCCTCCTTCCTGAGCGAAGACAAAAATGTGTGAGCCGGAGGCTAAAAAGACTGTGAGCGAGCTCACACTAACTCAGCTTAGAGGGAACACTGGCTCAAAGTGCTGTTCCATTTCCTTACGGCAATCCAGGATCTCTGCACGCCTGGAGTTTAGGGAAGGGGGGGGGCTGTGGATCTCCAGCGATCCTGACCTGCCCCAGCACCAGGATGCCTCTTGACAGTGTACTCTAACGTCACCCTCCATCCACAGGGATCGAGGACCTCGTCCTGGCCGATATCAGCTCGCCGAGCCGGGCACAGACGGGTGACAGCAGCAGCATCTCCTCCTTCAGCTACCGCGAAATCATGAAAGAGGGATCCGGGCCCGGCAGTAATAAGGTGAGGGGGCTCAGGGGCAGGGAGGCCCTGGCTAGACTACAGCAGGAGCCACGCATGCCTGGGTTTTCCGCTGGCCGAGGTGCGGCTCCAGCAGTTAGGTGGAGCTTTATGTCCTGAGGGGGCGTGGCCTTGTCACAAACGGGGCGGGGCTGGAGATTTTCTTAAAGGAGCAGTGTCCCCTCGACTGTGCAGGTGGCGCACGGCTCCCACTCATGGAGATTGTTCCAGGGACACTACAAATTGTGTATGCTTATTCTTTAGGAGCGCCCTTTTTTCCCCCAGGGCGGTTCTTTGGTCCTGCTGTTCAGCTGGTTTAATAATATGTATTAGGTGCAGATCCTGAAGGCAGAAATCCCTTTCCTTGGGGAAAAAGGCTGTTGAACCTTGGCGGGGAACTTTGGTATGAAAAGTCACAACTACAAATGCTCAAATGGCAGATAGGTCCAGATGGGCGGCCGTGTTTGTCTGTCTGTAGCAGCAGAAAAGAGCAAGAGTCCAGGAGCACCTGAAAGAATAATAGCCTTTGTGGCAGGGGAGGAGCTTTTGTGTGTCATCGGCTCCAGAGGATTCTTCAAACGCTCAAATCTGGAGCTTTTTATTTTGTGTCTAACGCTGAATACCACTAAGGATGGGCCTTCTGCACCTTGCCGAAAATCCCCTTTACCCCAAAATCTGAAAGGTAGCCCTTGGAAGTTTCTTTTCCAAAGCTGGACGACGCTGGCTTCTGGAAGAGAAAATGAGCAAATGATGAATCAGTTTTTCGTTGGGGAAACTGGTATGGGCAGGACTAAACGCATGGCTACCGCCAAAAATAGCATCCTTGCGTTCTGTCCTCCATTCCACGTAAATGCACTGTTCTGCGGAGGGGGAGACGGGGAAGCTCACTCTCACACTGTGATGCTGGTCCCTTCAGGGGATGATTTTCACTCGAAGCTGAGAGGGGGAGCAAGCGAGCTAAACACAGGGATGCCCGTTTTTGGCAGCAGCCGCGTGCGGTCGCTCCCCATCTCCAAACCTGCCCTTAAGTGCAAAGTGGAAGTCTGCGTTTTAGCTGAGGCGAAGCAGCGGGCAAGGCTTTGATACGTAGCAATAAATAACTCATCGGGTGCCTAATGTGTGCCTAAAGCAGGGCGTATTGATTGATTAAAGACATGCATTAAAGTTCTTGCTTGAATGATTCTCCAAAGCGAACATCAGGACAAAGAGAGCTCTCATTCGGTCTTCGGAGCGAAACGATCACAACCGCAGCACAGTCGCTTTGCGAGGTGTGGTGGGGTTTTTTCAGCCTTGCAGTTAGTACGCAACGTGGTCACATGGTGGGAGCCCACAGGCAGTTAGCCAATCCTGCTTGGAGTCCTCTGTTTAGCATCCTAGTACAGTTCTATCCCACCCTTCTTCCTAGTTAGGAACATAAGGACATAAGAGAAGCCCATGTTGGATCAGGCCAATGGCCTACCCAGTCCAACACTCTGTCACACAGTGTCCAAATACACCAGCTGCCGTCAGGAGGTCCACCAGTGTGGCCAGGGCACTAGAAGCTCTCCCACTTTT